TATAGGAATACTAATAGACGAAGCACGTTAACCTCTCCAAGTATATATTTTTTATTCCAGGCATCAGCTATGAGGGTGGCAAGAAGTGCCATGATATGTGTTTAATCTGCAATTTGTATTGAATTTAAGAATCATTACCTCGAATTATTGCACATGAAATAATGAAATTTGGTTTTATTTTTAAATTTTGATAGTTTAATACGTGTTGATGTCTTGCCTTGCTTACAGTTGTACCTACTATTTTTTAAAATAAAACTAAGTAACTTTCCCTAACTAATTATCATAAGCAATGATTTCGTTAGTGATAGTTTGAAAATTTGTACTAATCATTAATGATACTTACCTTTTCCCCTCATTTTAAGTCAAATATTAAATAGTGCAAGTATTATGCTGGGTATTGAACGTTTTTATTTAGATTACGTATTGAAATGTGAAATTGCGCATGTAAAATTAGTAAATTGAAATAAATAGGCACTTTCTGATTATCTATTCCCGGTTTTAACATTCGTTAGAATTGCTCTCTTGGCATATTTTCGAATATACATTATGGAGTAATATCATATTGAGATATCTCGCGAAGTTCGCCATGCGTTCGTATACCTTGCTGCATGTTATAGTACTCCATGATGCATATTTGAAAATATTTCAAATGTACGTCATGGAATATATACAGTGGATGGACAAAAATATGGAAACACCTTGTGAAATGCATGTTTGAAAAGAAAGATTGATTTTAATGAAATATATAGGTGGCGCTGGCGTTTTTGACTACTGACGCCACCTATACAACTTCGTAAATGTGCTAAACAGTTCAGTTGTTTGTCGGAGTACTGTTATGGGAGGTTGTCATTGCATTATGTCAGAGTTAACAGACTTCGAACGTGGGCAAATTGTTGGAGTACGTATGGTAGGTGCTTCCGTAAGCAAGGTAGCCGAGGTGTTTAGTGTTTCAAGGTACTGTATCGAAGATTTATTCCGCATATTTGAAAAGCGGAAAAACATCATCTGCTAAATCACAGCGCGGACGAAAGTGTGTCCTGAGTGATAGTGACAGACGATCATTAAGGGCAATTGTGACGAAAAATAAGAAGACCACAGCTGCAAAAGTTACTGCTGAAATGAATGTTGTGTTACCGAATCCTGTGAGTACCAAAACAATTAGAAGGGAACTTCATAAACAGGGAATTGCTGGCCGTGCTGCAATTGAGAAGCCACTGATCAGTGATGCTAATGCCCATAACAGGAAAAGGTGGTGTTTAAGTCATAAAGCCTGGACTATAGAGCAGTGGAAGCGAGTAATATGGTCTGACGAGTCTTCTTTCACATTGTTTCCCACTTCTGGCCGAGTTTACATCTGGAGAACGCCATCTCAAGCCTATAATACAGACTGTTTGTTGCCAAGAGTGAAACATGGCGGGGGTTCTGTTATGGTTGGGCAGCCATATCGTGGTTCTCTGCTAGCCCCATGATAACTGTGTCAGGGCACATGACTGCCAAGACTTATGTGAACATTTTGGCCGATCAAGTTCATCCCATGGTACAAACTTTGTTCCCCGATGGTGATTTCCATGACGACAAAGCCCCTGTTCACACAGCTCACATTGTTCAGGACTGGTTTTCTGAGCACGAGGATGAGTTGTCCCATCTCCTCTGGCCACCACAGTCACCAGACCTGAATATAATCGAACCTTTGTGGTCTACATTGGAACGGAAAATGCGTTCTCGTTATCCACCGCCAACATCGTTATTTGAACTTGCCACCGTTTTGCAGGAATAATGGTTATAATATTTCCTTGGCAAACATACAGGAACTGTATTTATCCATTCCGAGAAGACTGCAAGCTGTTTTGGATGCCAACGGGTTTCCTACACCATATTAAGCAAAGAAACATGTTTTTTTAAAGGTGTTTCCATATTTTTGTCTAACCCCTGTATCATCGAAGTATTTTTCTTCTTACTTCCATGGTAAACGCGCGACAGCAGCCAATCATGCATACGTGAAACGCACATGTATTTTAGTTATATGTTGATGGTATGCATGGTATGCATGATGGTATGGTTGATGGATTTGTGACCTTTAATTAGGCAGTATCTACCAGTTGTAAAAGTAAAAATATTTGCCCATGTAGAGTTTTATCTTTTTTCCCTAAAAAATTTTTCCTTTTATAAAATGCTTTATTAGTCCAAAGGGGCAATTTGCCCAGAAGGCCAATTTCGTTTTGCCACTTTGCGTTGGTTCACTATAAATACCAGTTCACGTTTCAAATTGTTGCCACCAAATGTTAGTGCCCTGTATTATATTTAAAGAAATTAAATAATGTAGAATCTGCATAAATGTATTATGTTTTTTGCATTGGGATAAACAACGGAACATAGACCCATCAAATTTTGAATAACGTACGTTTCCATCCGAATATGGACATTTAAAAGCCCTAATTTGGAATTTGTTTTATCATAGATTTCATATTTTTTAACACTTTAACGAATTTTCTATTAACAAACTCAACCATTTCAAAGCGAGCAATGGCAACACTGTAAAAAAAGAAAAAAAATTATCTTTTTATCTCTAGCGCGCGAGACCGTGTATCGCGAATTCTAAAGATATGCTCATTTTAAAGTTATTTTGCCATATTGCTGTTGAACAGAATTTTATGGTTTAAGTGCGAAGAACATGATATTTTAATAAAAACAGGTAGCACATAAAACGTTAAAAAAACGTTCTTTGGTCGTAATGTAAAATCTAAAAGCCTTCAGATTTTTTTGTGCTTATTATTATTATTATTTATGAACAGAATAAAGTTCATAGCCAAAGAAACGTTTCTATCCAATTCGTAAAGTCACCAATGAGGTGGAAACTTTCAGTTGCAGTGCGAATAATCAGAAAAGGCTAACAAATGCATCATAATTATCTGACCTTTTCTAAAGCTGAAATTTTGCTTGAAATTATTTTATATTTTAACATACATATGTTATATAAAATAAGATGACTCTTACGTATGGGACAGATTAAATTTCCTTATTCAGAATTTATTAAATTATTAATATTGAATACCTTTTCCGTGTTTCGTTAATTTTAACTATGTAACACCTGAATTGTTCTTACGAGAAAAAAATGTTTTATTTATGGTGTCACTGATGCTCAGATTTGAAACAAGAGTGTATATTCGGAATACAAAAATTACGATGGTAAGCATTGCGTTATTTTGCCACTTTCATGGCTGTTGTCTATTTTCTGGCCAGAATTAGGTTTTATTGCACTATGAGCGATTTATTATTATTATTACTACAACTATGGTAGAAAGTATAAGGCTAATAATATATCTAGTAAAATATTTTCAACGGTTAATAGTAGCATTTTACTGAAACTCTGAGTTTTATTAAACACAAGTTCCATTTTTCCACTGTAGCAATTTCTGTTGCTTAAAGCGGGTAATACATTATTTCTTATACGATATACGAAGAGTTTTTGTCATTTAAAGAATTCAGCTTTTCCCAATCTGCAAATTTCTAAAAGGGCAATCCCCAGAAAATTAAAAAGATGTTCATAAAAGCTGCAATTTATGATAACAAATTTAACTGAAATAAAGAAAACTAAGTTCTGTTGTTTAAATTAAAAAGTACAAAAAAATTTAATGAAAGATATTTTGTTCCAGTTAAAGGTAGTGTATGATTACTCACATCGAGGCAGAGCATATAATTTAATTTACATAATCTAAACTGAAACAGGATGCACTTTAAACTGAATACTGTTATACATTTTATTTAATATGGAAGAAATGCATTTTCATATAATGGTTGCAAAAGTATAGTATGATATATTTAAATTTAGAAACCACTTGAAGTTTTTAATACTTGAATTTTATATTTATATTATATGCAGCGAAATTTAAAGCATGGAATATTTGGACCGGGTAACCTACGTTAAGTAAAAAGGCCAGCAAAGATAAGAATTCTCCATTATGTAAAAAACCTTCTTTTGCATATTTATAAAAAAAATCAGAAAGTTTTCAGATTTTATACTACGTAATATCACAAAATATTTAAAAAGAGCATATCTGTAGAATTTCCGATCCACAGTCTCGCGCGCTGGAGACAAAAATGTTTTTTTTCCGCACAGTGTTGCCATTGCTCGCTTTGAAATCGTTGAGTTTGATAACGAAACATTTTTTAAAGTTTTGCAAAATATGAAACAGGTAAAAAAATAAATTCCAAATTCTAAATTTGGGCTTCCAGATTCCCATATTTGACTGGAGGCCTGCGTTATTCAAAATTTGATGTCTCTAGGTAGCTTTGTTTTTTTCACAGTGCGAGAAACATGCATGCACTCATGCAGATTTTTCATTACTTAATTTCTTTAAATATAATGCAGGGCTCTAATATTTGGTGGCAACAATTTGAAAAGCGAAACGCCGTTTTATAGTGGACGACGCTAAGACGAAATGCTAAGATGAAATTAATAGCCCTTATGGGCGAATTGTCCCTTTACGTTAGTATGAGATCCATTTTAAAATATTAAAGTATAAAAACTAGTATTTTATTGATGAAATTTCAGTTCTCATTTAAGAGATAACTGAAAAAAACTATTTATTTATTTTTGTAAAATGGAAAATTTTTATTTATTTATTTATTTATCATTTTACTTTTATGTTGTAACATAAAAATAAAATATTATTAATCCATTAAATGAAAAGTAAAATGCAAATATTTTTGATTTTAAATAAATGCAGTAAAGTAAAAATTAAAAAACGAAAAAGAAAACGAAATTTTGACATGAAAATATATACTTTCCATCATTTATTATAAAGCAGAAAATACTTTTTTATTTAAATCACTTTCTGCTAATGTTCATTACTTTTCGCTGATATAAACGTATGTATGGAAAATGAACAGTAGCTGAAGTATCAATAATCAAAGGAAAGTACTAAAAGTGTATGCAAAGAAGGTACTTGATATAAGTTTTAGATTTCTGAATTCTTTGAGAAAAAAAAATAGTCTCTCACCTTTTGAAGACTGTGCATATTTATCCTTTAAAGTTTCAACCTAAAAGGTATACAAAAACTTTTCTAACCACGCAGTTGCCTAAAAACACATCCTTGTCTGTCTCCTTTCCAACAATGCTCTGTCACAAAACCCCACGTGTCGTTCTTTTTCAAACCCAAGTAACTTTCTCTTACCAAACTTCAAGGTGCAAAATTAAACGACATTTTTTATCTTGGGGGTATTATATTTCCCTCTACCCTATAAAACAAGCTACCATAACTAGAACAATTTAAAAGAGGTTTTGAGCAAAATTTCCGTTTGGGTTCCTGCCATCTGAACACTTTCATGTTAATATCCACTTCTGTAAAGGATATTTGTTTTTGTTTTTATAACCCTTTTTACGTTATAACAATAAGTCCTGGAAGCATAACCGCTATTCTTCGGTTGTTAATCAAAGCAAACGGTTAAAGCAATGAAAATAAACATGTCAGGAGGTGTTGGCCAAGCGGAGAAAAGTGCTTTTAGTAGGAAATAGGTATGTATTAACCAAGCATGACAGATGTTGTGCACCTTTTTGGACTTCCTTATATAATATATTTAAATGAAATAAGAGTGATAAATTTCTGAGACCAAATTCAGATCGAAGATTTTTCCAGGAACTTGGGTAAATATGGATGGGCTTAGGGAGAATATACTTCCGGTGAATCGGAAAGCCGCTCTTCCTCATAGCGTGTTGTTTTCGTTGCCCATCGAAGCGAAACCGTTGAAGCCAATTAGCAGAAGGATTTCTCATTACTGTAAGATGAATGGTACAGGAAATTACTTAATAGCAAGCTTTCTCCTTCGCTTACTCCACTGGATATGGTTTATCTGTTTATTCCTGAAATATTTCAAAATGTAATTGCATGATATATATTTTAATCAATAACCTATGATGAGGTACTAAATAATGCTTTATTTTTTATCATAAAAATTTCCAATATTTTTTACTTTTCACAACGAATTTAGAAAACATTTGAAACTAAATGAATTATGGGTTTATATTTAAAGATAGATCTTAAAGCTGCAAGAAAGTTTGAACAAATCTTTTTAATCTGTATGGCACAGATTGTTTCTTCGCATTAATCATGTAAAAATAAACAGACTTTTTCATTCGTCCCTCCCGAAAAAACAAACACAAGTCGTAAAAACTTAGAGCACGAGCACTGAGCAACTTAAATGAATAACTTAATATTTGATCTGTTAGAAGTTTATAGATTAAGCATTTGTAAGCGGAAATACTTCAGACTTACTTGCTTACTTGATTGACTTACTTGCATATGGAAAACCTCGCGAGGGTTATCTGCCTAAAAGAAGATATGGCTTTAGGAAGGATTTTCTAAGAGAGCTCAGGAGAATTCGATTCTGGAAGTTCAAGTCCTGCAAACCCTACTAGAAAAACAGCGAGTTATCGATGCGTCTTAAACAACTCACAAAAGACCAACGAAGCTTAAAATAACATTTTTATTTAGTCTTAAATGTAATAGAGAAAACACAACTTGTGTTACAGATGAAACTTCCACTGCTTGTGATTATTTAAATTAACATAACACACAACTGAATTCAACAAGATAAGTTAGTCTAAAATTACACACAAAATGGACTAGTTTAAGTTAGCTGAGATATTTTGTCGACGCTTATTTTAAAATATCAGCTAGCGAAATGCTAAAGCTGGAATATCACTTTTAAGTAGAGCTAAGGCGAATATTAACTGCAAGACGTTGTTGCCAGAAGATCCAATCTAATCATTCAAGACCCTCAGTTGAAATACACTCTTTTGCAAAACATTCGAAGCACCATGAAGGAAGTGGTTGTTTTTGATGAAATTGAATATGTGTAATTTAATAATTTAATTAAAAAATCAAGTCATAGTACCTGTTCACGGCTCACAATCACCCATTGAGTAAATAGTAGTAGTTGGTCAAAATAGTAGTAGAAAGTAATAGAAGTAATAGAAAGAAAGAAAACAAGTAAAAAATTTATTTAAAAAAAAATCTGAAAGGACTCAGATTTTTAACGGTCGCCCTGAAGGGCTTGTTGCTGATTTCGCAGTCTACCAGACTGTTGTTGCACTCATTTCTGCTAAATCATTTCTTTTGTTTCTTTAGCTTTATTATCAAGCGTCATTTCTTCGCCCTTACGCCATATATAATTCAACAACAAGATTACAAAAAGTTTTAAAGCAACGTGTATTTAGAATTTCCGATGAAGTGTTCTATGTTTTAAGTCTTTTCTCAGTTTATCATATCAATATAAAGTTTTCTTAGTAAGATGGCTTGGCTTGCAAAACTTCATTTTTTGTTTTCTTATTATCAGCGTTTTGTGTGTTTAATTTAAGTACCGTACTTTACGGACTAGAGGAAGCACCTTGATTCTTAAGCAATTTTTTAAAATGTAGTATTTGTACCATTTTTATCATTAGATTGTAAAGCCAGACTAAAAAAAACTTCTTAATTTATAAAACCGAGCTGAACTTTAAAATCCTTGAAAATGGTCATCTGAACTTTCTACTATGCCGCACTTCTTGAAAGATTTAACAATAATATCTTCTGTCACTGTTTTATCCACTGACACACTTGTTTGATTGAAGTTCGTTTTAAAGCTCCATTCGGCGTGAATTCATGTTGGGTTTAAATCAAACACAGGACAGTTTTATATTAATTTTGAGTAGAAGACGCATCTGAATTTTGGAGGGAATTTTTTGAAGAAAAAGTAGGATTTATAGTCCGTAAAATTAAGTAAATGTCATGTTATTAGCACTTACGCCATATAAAATGCAGCTAAATTTACAAACTCACGAAATATTTAAAAGTAGCGTATCTTTAGAATTTGCGATAGACAGTCTCACGCGCTGAAGATAACGATGTTCTGCCACTGTTCGCTTTCATGTTATTAAGTTTGCTAAAAATTCATTAACGTTTTACAAAATATGAAATATCAAATTCGAAATTCAAAATTCGGGCCAGATGCACATGTTCGGGTGGAGGACTACGTTATTCAAAATTTTATGACCTTAAGTACCGTGGCTTTTTAACAGCGTGTGAAATACGCATATATTCATGCAGTTTCTTTATTATTTAATTTCTTTAAATGTAATACAGGGCAATCATATTTCGTGGCAACAATCTGAAAAAAGATTCAAGCATTTAAAGTTATACTAATTATTTAAAGCCAAATCCCGTTTTGAGACTAAAAGCCAATTCGGGTTAAAGCCCTTTTGGGTTAATAATCTTTCATTTTATGGAGCTATACATAATTTTCAAAACAAGCGGGCGCATTACTTAGCAAAAGTAATGGAAGAGAAAATTTTGCTTGGAGAAATTGATGCATATCTGATAAGAAATCCTTGAATAAGTTTAGGCTAATCCTTTCATAAGTAAGGAACATAGAAAACAAGATTGAAATTTTAAAATAAACAAGATTGAAATTTAAAAAAAAATTATATAAATTTAGGCTGATAGTGAAGTATCTGTTAGTAAAGGAATTGGCAAAAATTCACATCTGAGCTTTCATTCTGAATTTATATGAAAAATTATTATAAATGTATCAGTTTATGCCTCCATGTGATTAACATCACCCTCATACATAAAATATTAACTGAAACTGTAAGGATTTCTTTTTTCCATCTCGTTATTAATTGATGTTATGATTTTACTTTTTCTGAAAGTGTTGCCATTTTTTTTGCTTAAAAGAAAATCGGTATTTTTCTACAACTGCTTATTCAAAAATCTTTACATTCTAATATCATAATAATAACAAGCTATGCTTACACAGCGTGTTATTAGCGTGTTACACAGCGTGCTTAAACAGCGTGTATTCTAATTCTTAAGTTAGAATATTTCTTAATTCACTGTTCTAAATTAATTGTTCTGCAATGTGCGTCGAAAAATAAGAATACGTCCATTAATATTTTTTTTAAATTTAATCTCTCTTAAATTGAAATGTCAGTTTTAATATTTTTTTAAGATCCCTGATGGCTTCTTTTGAAAACTGAGATATCAGAAACAATTATTCAGTCTGATTTGATTCTGATTGTGTTTTCCGTCAATGCTGCATCTAAAAACATATCTATAGAGTTTCCTAAGTTTCAGGGTGAGTATGTATTTTCAGAAGTTAAAAAAAATGAAATGGAGATGAGTTTTCACTATTAATTCTTATATGATCTGTGTATATTTCTATCCGCAAAAGGGAAATTATTTTGCAAAAGACAGGTGACAGGTGAGAGCAGGTCCGGACACCCGGACGGCTTACATAGACTAGTCGGGTATCGTCCGGAACCTGCAACTATCCGAAGCTACACTCCGAAAACAATACAAGGGCAAAGTACATGGCCACACAAGAGAAAATATAGATTTTTCTGCATGCGAAATTAAACATTTTCCTGGTTACATCGCATGTTAACACATTGCTACACATACTCGCTACAATATACATTTCATAATATGCATTGCGTTGATCATTGCACTGTACTTAAGGCACATTTACAACTCAATGCTACACTTAATACACTATACTTTGCAACATATTACGCTAAACATTATTCTTGACAATTCAACATAGATTCTAAACAATGTAATTGTTTAAATAAGACATAACTGGATTATATAGTACATAACTCCGTTATATAAAACAGACTTAAATAAATAACTTGATACAACAGATAAATAAATTAAAAGCTCTTAAATTGTACAGTTGCGCGCTTCCAACCTGCACGCAACCAAGTGGTGACAGCTGAAACTGGAAATTAGACAGAGTCCTGCGAAGGGTTTAAGTCCCTTTTTTTTCAACTTTAAAAAGTTACAAATTGCGTGCTCTTGACGCTCACAAACTACGCCGACCCGGCGGTTAAAATAAAAAATAAGAACCTGAAAAGAAATAATAACAAGAGCCTAACTACGAGGCTCTCTAAACGTAACTAACCTCACCGCGTTTTACAATACCGCTGAATAAGTATTTACGTATATTTACAATTTACCATAAAATGAACAAGAGAAAATAAATTTTTACTTTACTCATTCTTCGCCAAGCTGGCGGCACTGAAACTAAAGTTTTTATTAATACAAGAATACGAAGTTATTTTTATCTTCGGCCAAATTTTGGCTTTAACATAACAGAATTAGTCTTTCGACCAACAGAAACTGCTTGTTCTTAGATTTTATACTTAAAGAAAATAATACTTTTGCCTTAGTTAAATAAAGTAAAACAAAACTAAGTCTCAACCGAGACATATTGACTTTCGTCAAAACATAGAACTTCGTACTTACGCATAACA